GTTACAAATATGAACAGTCTCGTTTAAGTGTATCAAACACCCTGTTGTAAGTATGAAACAGTCTCGTTAAGTGTATTAAACACCCTGTTGTAAGTATGAAACAGTCTCGTTAAATGTATTAAACACCCCGTTTATGAAACATTCCATTATAAATATAAAAGAATCTAGTTTTATGCAGGAAACATCACCGTTATCTGCATGAAGTATCTCGTTATAAATTTCAGTTTGAAGTCATTTTAATTTGTATTAGTGATTCAATTTTTCTACCTAAAATTACAAAATCGTTTTTATATTACACTCTTTTTGTTTCATGTTAATCATCGTTAATGGTTTTTGCAAATATCTGAAATCCGCATTCTTTGCTTGACTGTGACATATCTGACTCTAGTGTGTTTATCTTTTTTGCTCAGTAGTGTGCAAATAGTCTATTTGTATTTGAAGTTGCTGGTCGAATGTTGGTCGTCTCGGAGAAAAGCAGATCGTCTCCCTTCAACGTGACACTTGCGTGCACAAAGGTGTGGTGATGCACGAGATAATGCATGCCATTGGATTCGAGCACGAGCATAACCGACCTGATAGGAACGAATATGTTATTGTAATATGGGAGAATATCCTTCCAAGTAAGCTACTTATTTAAATCAACTTCATCCTACCTTATTACCTTTTATAGGGGGAGAGGGTGGGGAGGTGTGAGTGTAACCACATTAAAAAAAAAGATATAATTTACAGTCTGTATTGATATAAATGTATTCCTTTTCTTTATAGGTAATTATTTCCAGTTTGATATTGTCTATGCGTTTGAATTCGACACTTTTGGAGAGCCGTACGACTACAAGTCCGTAATGCATTACGATTACAAGGCTTTTTCCAAGGGTTCCGGTCCAACACTCTTGCCTAAGAAGAGCTCCATTCAAGCAACAGAATTAGGAGAGGCCCTAACCAATGATATGCTCACCGAAAAAGACATTAAGAAACTAAACAAATACTATTGCGATGTAAAAACAACTAATTAGCCATATCAGTGGCTTGATTAAAACGTATCTAAACAAGGTATCTAAACTCGCGTGTTGTTGAAACTATTTAATCTTACTTCACTAATTTGCATCACTGGTTTCTAAAAGCGTTCCAAAAATGAAGCTTTAGTGGTGTATTCGGGTCGGTAAAGATGAACATATAAGCTCAGCTGAACCTGTGTTTTCACTTGAATTATTGTTAATAAAAGGCACAATAAAATCACACATCTGCTTGTACTTTGGTTTATTATAAAAATGGTGCATTCAAGATGCAGTACCAGTTTATTTCCTTCCAAAACTTGTTTTTTTTATTTATAGGTTAAATATATCTAAGCAATCGTAACTCATACAGTTAATTCTGAGATCCTTTCATCATCCTTGAGTTTAAAAATATAGTGTTGATTATCGTGGTTAAACTGCTCAGTAACTAGCGGGGGAGGGATGTCTGAAAACATTTGTATATAAGCAATAATGTTTCAGTGGACTTGCATGTTGAGGACTTGGTGTGGTATTTATTACGTTCAATTTGAACGGAATTTTGTGCAACTTTTGGGGAACGTCAGAGACACCTATGCTTCAGACATAGCCATCCCTAATCGAGAGCTTCTCGGAACAGGAAGAACAACCAATCATCAACACTCGCCGCCTACGTGACTACTCTTAACCGGATGGAGTACCAATCAGCAACGCTCATCATCCTCCATCTGGTTAAGAGTAGTCGCCTGGGCGACGAGCGTTGCTGATTTGGTCATCCTTCTGGTTAAGAGTAGTCGCCTGGGCGACGAGCGTTGCTGATTTGGTCTTCCATCTGGTTAAGAATAGTCGCCTAGGCGGCGAGTATGGCTGATTGGTCCTCCATCTGGTTAAAATTAGTCACCTGGGTTGACTTTCTAATTTGTAACAACTCATATCTGCTGACATTCAGCAGCATATCGCAGTTCGAACTTTGAAACTTCCAATACACAGCCTAGAATTTAGCCAATGGCCAATCGCAGCCCTTTATTACAGTTATACATAAAATAAGACTACTAGCATTTTCTGAAGCATGAGTAGAGTATGTAACTAGGGAGGGAAATTTAAGAGAGTATCATCCTATAGAAACAAGTAACATCTGAGTTTTATAAGTCGATGAATCAGAAAACGATGTACAGAATTCTTTAAAAACCAAATTACTACCTTGATATTATTGATAAAGTACACACGCTGCATGTAAAAAAAAAATGCCCATTTTTATGATGATTTCAGCTTTAACAGAACGGGTTTACTCGATTACAGATTCTCTTCGAGTGCCCCCCCCCAGTGGCACAGCGGTATGTCAACGGACTTACAACGCTAGAAACCGGGTTTCGATGCCCGTGGTTTTCAGAGCACAGATAGCCCATTGTATAGCTTTTCATGATGATCTCAGCTTTAAAAAACGGGTTTACTCGATTACAGATTGTCTTCGAATGCCCCCCCCCCAGTGGCACAGCGGTATGTCTACGGACTTACAACGCTAGAAACCGGGTTTCGATGTCCGTGGTGGGCAGAGCACAGATAGCCCATTGTATAGCTTTGTGTTTAACTTCAAACAAATAAACTAACTCTTCGAATACTCTCAGATAGTTAGTTGGTTGGCCCGGCCTGTCCAGGTGGTTATGGTGCTTAACTCGCAATTTACGGGTCGCAGGCAGTTTCGAATCCCCGTCCCGCAAAACCTGCTCGCCCTTTCAGCCGTGGGGGCATTATAATGTGACGGTCAATCCCACGTTTCGTTAAAAGAGTAGCTCAAGAGTTGACGATGGGTGGTGATGACTAGTCTTTCACTACTAAATTAGAGACGGCTAGCGCAGATAGCACTCGTGTAGCTTTGCGCGAAATTCTAAACAAACCAAACCAGTTAGTTTGTTTGTAAACACAAAGCTACATAATCGGCTACCCTAGCTGCGCCCACCACGAGTATCGAAAACCGTTTCTTAGCGGTGTGAGGCCTCAGACTTACCGCTAAGCCACTGTGGGACAAAGTCTCTTAGAAACGCTCTGTTGAGAAGCAATGAGTCGCAATCACTCTGTTTTTTCACTAATAATTGTAGTATTTATGCGATGTTTGAGCAACCGTAGATATAGTGTGCCACTCAGTCGGCAATATGACATACACGTATTTATTCTAAATTGTAGAAGCATAACGAAAGCCAATATTGTAACTTGTATTTTCTATATCCTATAGTGCTCTGTTTACAGAAATCATGTACTTATCAACTACGTTTGGTTGTTATGATTATAGTTTGAGTTTAGTTGAGAATAATGCAAGTTTCTATGTGAAAATCATATTCACGTTGAAAGCTTTACAAGATAGTGTCAAGTCAGGAAAATGTCAGAATTCATTCTGACAAAAAAATCTAATCCATTAACCATAAACAAACAGTTTCAAATGAAAAACGTTTAAGGACATATTCTTTTACCTGTTGCTTAAACAAACTCATTATAGTTATTTCGCTTTCTCTTGCCCTCCAGCGACTCAGACGTAAACTTGAGGGTTTATGACCCTAAAATTCCTGGTTCGATTCCCAAGGTGGGCACAGCTCAGATATCCCATTGTATTGCTTTGCTTCAAACAAACAATGGCCCGGCATGGCCAGGTGGTTAGGGCGCTGGACTCGCAATCTGAGGGTCGCGGGTTCGAATCCCCGTCATACCAACATGCTCGCCCTTTTAGCCGTGGGGACGTTATAAAGTTACGGTCAATCCCACTATTCGTTGATAAAAGAGTACCCCAAGAGTTGGCGGTGGGTGGTGATGACTAGCTGCCATCCCTCTAGTCTTACACTGCTAAATTAGGGACGGCAGATAGACCTCGTGTAGCTTTGCGCGAAATTCAAAAACAATCAAACAAACAAAATCGCTTGCTTTTGACCTATATAATGCAACTGAATAAACATAGAAACCTATTTTTAGTCTATAATAATATTCAAACTGGGTATAATGCCAGTTTCAGAAAAAGGACAAGAAAAATTAACTGAAAATAAGATTCAAGTTTAAAACAATTCGTGAAATGAACATACTATTTGATGGAAGATTTCCTAATTCACATCAAATGCCATTATCAATTAAAATATCTTAAGTTATTTCTTTTCAATTGCGTGAAACAAACCCACAAAACATCATATTTAGAAGAAAGGGTAACACTTTAATCATGTTTCACTTTGGGATGTTAAAAGCCACAGATTTGGGGATTTAAAACTCAGTTTTGTTTTTGATCAATCTTGCCAAGTAAACCTGTATGTCTCTGGGCTATAATATGGTGTTCTTCAAAATGGTTATTAAAAACAATTTGTTGAACGTAGAAGAAACTCGAGAGAAGGCGATATTAGAATCAAACCAAAATATTTCCAAAAATTGACGTCCCTCAGTGGGTCAGTGGTATATTTACGGATTTACAACGATAAAATCCGGGAACGGATTCCCGACGGTGGACAGAACTCATTGTGTAGCTTTGCACTAAAAAGACGACAACGACTTAGCAAAAACATACACATACTGCTCGTACTGTAACCATATATTAATAAACAAGTAATAAAGGGATTGTCAATAAGAACTCGTATGAAAATCATAAGCGAGCTGTCACAGTGTATCTACGTTAACATAAACACTTTACCAATAAGTAAACACCCACTTGAGAAATAATTCCATTTTACTAAATAAATAAAGATGAAGCAAAGGGGACAAGATTACATATAATGAGATTTTAGTGAATCCACCATTTTCAATATTTAAGGAAGGATACACATCTTATTTATAGAGTCTAGATCTGTGGGATTGTACCCCACTCCTGGCGAGAAATTTGGATGAGGATGTACCTAGAAATTGATTTTTGACACTTTCGTAGGGTAGGATCAAGAATAGACCACAAATACTTAATAGGGTATTTATCCGACTATTAGCTTGGCTACGAGAGAGTCGTAATACCCTGACCTTCAAGCAATCATTTTATGAGTCGGGCTGAATGAGCAGGAGCCCCATCTTACATGAAAACACTGCCTGATCTGGTAAGCTGGATTGGAGCAGACTTGTAGAAAGCTTTACACGAGAAATGAGATATATCAAGCAGCAGAGGTCGTCCATCCGCTTGCACCAGCTGTGACGCATCCTACACCATAACAGAAACACCCATGTGCACTATTCCGCGAGGATTGTTGTGCAAATGTGGATTCGCCGGAGACAAATACATCCTAAAAGCAGGAGGGTGTAACAGCATCTGTGATGTCCATTGCTGTCGACGTGCGATATTGCATGGAATGAGGAGTGACTTCCGTCTGTCTAATCTACCATTGTTGCCCATGTTATTAAGATAATTTTTCATGGAATTAGGACACACTTTTACTTGAAACAGTAACATCCCTTTGACGTGGGTCATTCTCTACACTTCTCCTCACAGCATGAAAGGTTCGTTCTGTAAACTCTGGGAGTCTGATCCATGCAGAAACTGATGTTTTCCGACATAACTATAAGCGTATCGTCACCATATTCACCGTGGAATAGGTAATTCAAGTGGCTTGGCGATTTTCACCGACTTTAACCACCATCTAATCGTCGAATTATCAGTTTTTGTGAAAATACTTATAATTCCAGGGATACTTTACCGCATAGCACGACCATTTATCTTCTGTGATCTTTACCGAGTTGGATATTTTCATAATACATCATAGAGATGCTTGATTTTATCTTGGGTGTGTCTATTTAATTAATATTAGGATGTATACACAAATGTGTAAAAGTGGTGAAAGGAATGAACATTAACTTCTATGATCAACACTGAACGCTTATTGTAAGTCCGTGTTAATACACAAACCACAAAAGTGTTAAACGTAAGTCAGTAAGTTTGTTTTATTTGTTTTTAAGTGAAAAAGCTACACAGTTTATTATCTGCACTGTGCCCACCGCGGGTATTAAGCCCGAATTTTAGTGTTACAAGAACTCAGACTTACCGCTGAACAAGTCATTAAGAGCCTGTACGTAGAACAACTTTAAAGTGTTATTGCACAATTGTGTTAATATAAACAGGAGTGAAAGTATGTCGTAAATAACCTTGCGAAAAATAAGCCAGATTTGGCTACAATTCTGATGCCTGAACTTGTGACATTGTTCGACTTATCGTGTAAAATACTCAGGTGGGTGTTTGAATGCACCCAAGTACATGGAACACATAAAAGGCTTCGCCACTGAATCATCTAAAATAAACTACACAT